AGATTACCCCACATGTGATCACCTCCAGAAGACCAGATTACCCCTCCAGTGATCACCTCCACCTCCCTCACTAATATGTACTAGAGCCAGGTACTCTCTCTGCTGCCCAAGGCCGGGTTCCTCATTGAGGCCCCCCCCCAATGGAGAATGGCAGACCTGCAGGCTGCATACAAGTGATATCTCGGCAACATCGCCGGGCTTACTTCTACAAAACAAGCGGCAGCTTGCCCAAAGCCGGGCTAAATGTAGAAAACAACTACCCGCCCGACACCAAGAACTGCATGTTCCCGGCATCGGGAGATAGGAATTCTACACCCCTGCTGCCCCTCTACTGCCTGTTACCCCTCTACTGCTCTTAGGTCGCTGGCCAGTTATGTAAGAGGAGGCGGGGTTGCTCTTAGGCGGGCCCCGCCTCCTCCTTCACTGCGAGCGCCGGCCTCTTATGCGAACGCTGGCCTCTTCTGTCAGCTATGTGCGCAGCAGCTGCGGCGCGTTCTGGCGTTCTGAAGGTGATCACTGGTGGGGTAATCTGGTCTTCTGGAGGTGATCACATGTGGGGTAATCTGGTCTTATGGAGATGAGGAAGGGGTTACGGAGGTGAGGATGGAGTTACGGAGGTGAGGAGGGGGTTATGGAGGTGAGGAGGGGGTTATGGAGATGAGGAGGGAGTTATGAAGATGAGGAGGGAGTTATGGAGATGAGGAGGGGGTTATGAAGATGAGGAGGGAGTTATGGAGATGAGGAGGGAGTTATGGAGATGAGGAGGGGGTTATGGAGACAAGGGCGGGGTTATGAAGATGAGGAGGGTGTTATGGAGACGACGAGAGGGTTATGAAGATGAGGAGGGGGTTATGGAGACGAGGAGGGGGTTATGAAGATGAGGAGGGAGTTATGGAGATGAGGAGGGAGTTATGGAGATGAGGAGGGAGTTATGGAGATGAGGAGGGAGTTATGGAGATGAGGAGGGAGTTATGGAGATGAGGAGGGAGTTATGGAGATGAGGAGGGAGTTATGGAGATGAGGAGGGAGTTATGGAGATGAGGAGGGAGTTATGGAGATGAGGAGGGAGTTATGGAGATGAGGAGGGAGTTATGGAGATGAGGAGGGGGTTATGAAGATGAGGAGGGGGTTATGGAGACGAGGAGGGGGTTATGAAGATGAGGAGGGAGTTATGGAGGTGAGGATGGAGTTACGGAGGTGAGGAGGGGGTTATGGAGATGAGGAGGAGGTTATGGAGATGAGGAGGTGGTTATGGAGGTGAGGAGGGTGTTATGGAGACGACGAGAGGGTTATGAAGATGAGGAGGGGGTTATGGAGACGAGGAGGGGGTTATGAAGATATGGAGGGGGTTATGAAGATGAGGAGGGAGTTATGGAGACGAGGAGGGAGTTATGGAGATGCTGCAGCCTCTCACCTTGTGACTTGCAATACATTACAATTTCTGGACGGGGGGAGGGGAGACTGAGGAAATGCTTCCTCCTGCCTGCAGCAGACTGATGACATCATCTTGACCTGGGTAAAGTCACTGATGGCTTTCTAATGATAAAAGTTGAAGTTTTTCTGGGAAATGATACTGTTGCTGTATATGGTGACGGGTCAGGAATGTCCTCATGGGGACTTGTAGAACCTCTGGCAGGATCAATCTAACTTGAAGGGTTAAGGCAAAACATTGGATTTTTGAGTAACCAGTAAAGTTAGTCTCTTGGAATCCAGTACAGGACACAGGCAATTCAGAGACAACTGGGTAATATGGTGGTATCATCAGGTGATTGGACACTGGCCAGAGCAATGTGGACCCTCATATGACCCCTCCCCCTCCAGGAAATGCTCCGTTTTTTAGCATGTGATAGGGAACATAGAGGGATGGGGGTGGGGGGGGGGTTGCTGTGTCCTGTATTGTAAACAGATTCTACTGGTAAGTAGGAAATTCTACTCTTGATTGTAGAGTGCAGGACAATTCAGAGCCGACTGGGACATCCAAAACCAATGCACCAATGAGGGGTGGCCAACACAGAAAACAACCATCAATAGGCCCACAAAATAGATTATAAGGAGGAAAACCAACTCAGACCGCAGCCTGAAGCACCCCACAGCTGCAGAGAACCTCCACCCGATAGAACGTAGGGAGCGTGTGCACAGAAGACCAGGTGGTGGCCTTACAAATCCACGGAGCAGATGCTGGATGCTGAAAAGCCCAAGAGGCACTGACAGCCGTGGTAGAATGTTCCTCCCCAGGAATCGGCTTGGCCTCTAGCAGAACAGGAACGCACAATGACCTGCCAAAGTCACCAAGAAACGATGGAATGAGACGCAGGGAGCCCCATGTGAGGTCCTCCAGGAAGGAGACAAAAGCAGTCGTATTGTCTGAATAAAGCCGTAGTCCAGAGAATAACTTGGAAGGCCCCAACCACATCCAGGCAGTGAAGAGAAATCTTCCTAGGATGTCTTAGAGCAGGACAGTAAGAGGGAAGGGCGATGTCCTGATTAAGAGTAGACAAGGACACCATCTTAGGCAAAAAGAGATTGGTAGACCTGAGAACAATGTTATCCTTATAAAGAACAAGGAAGAGTCCTTTGCATGATAGTGTTGTCAGCTCGGGGACTCTCCCAGCGGTGAGGACAGCAACGAGGAAAACTTACCTTGGATGTAAGATCTGTTGGAGAGATATCTCTGATAGGTTCAAACGGAGGTCACTGGAGAGGTGAAGTACCAGATTGAGATCCCTTTGTGTCACTACTCACCAGAGGGCATCTAGGAGGAGCCACATCAGCGACCACCCTGTTTAATGGCCCTTTTCAAGGCATGAGAGGCCAATGGCTGCTGGAAAAGGATGGCCAAGTACATTATTTGTCTCTGGAGAGTACTCAGGGGCCATGCGCTGATCCAACCCTGGTTAGGGTAAGGCCAGAATCTGTTGCAGTATTACCGAAATGAAATTTCTGCACAAGGCAAAGTAAGCCCTCCAGGTACGATGGTGCACCTTGCGAGTGGTGGACTTCCTGGCCGGCAATAGTGTAGGAGTAACAGGAATCTGACAGACCTCCGTACTTCAGGATCTGGACTTCATCAGCAAAGCGGTCAAAGCCTAAGACCGGAAAGCGGGATGGAATAACAGACCTCGACATGGAAGATCTGGGACGGTTCTGGAAGTGGCGGCAGGGAATGTGCCAGCATCTGAAGGACGTCCACATACCACATTCTTCTGAGCTAGTTGGGAGCCCTGATGATACATGGGATGCCCTATACCTCGATCCTGCAAAGAAGACAAGGAAGGAAGGAAACCTATCCCACGTAGTCACCAGAGCATCCATTGTGAAAGTTCACCGATCCCTGAACAAGGATACAAACGTGAACAGTTTGTTGTTGAATCTGGATGCTGGGAGATCCCCATCTGGAGTCCCCCAACAACAGCAAATCCCCCAAAACACTTTCGGTGTGGAGACCATTCCCTGCAGGCTGCCCACTAAGAAAGTCCACCTGCCAATTGTCCACTCCTGGAATGTGCATGGCGGTCAAGAATCTGCTAAGCCATCCAGTAACACAGAGCCATTGGTAGAAGTTCTGATCCGCTTAGGACCACAGATCATGCGCTGATAGAACTAGGATCAGGAGCCATGTGTTTAGTCCAGATCGCCAGGGCCTGACATGCCTCCATAGAAGCCACTGTCAGCTGTAGGGAAGGCCCAATTAGTGCAAAGAAAGCCTTGACCAATCCTTATTTACCTAATCTATAATACCCGGGACATCCTCCACCAGTATGGTTAGGGACTTGTTAAGGCAACACATGCCCACATCCACCTTCACCACTTTCTGAGGATTGATTGCTGAAAGCAGTACTGCTGTGCAAATTGTTTTGGAGAGCGAATACTTTTTCGGGATGCTGCCAACCTGCATAGAGCACCTCCTCTACCAGGTAGCGTGTCAAGAAGGTCTTAGTTTTTGGGATGTATGGCTTGGCTGTAGGTGGAACCCTTTGGCAGGGACGGTAACAGGGTCTGAGATCGAAGTAACAGAGGAATATCCAAAAAGAGAAATCGAGTCCAGGTCCGGGTCGGGGCAGGCAGCGAGGTTCAAGAGTGAGAGGACAGGTGAAATGGTCGGCAAAACGGGGGTCAGGCAAGTCTCAGGAAACAGATTCACACACGGGGGCTGGGTGATCACCATGAGGTAGAATAACTCAGCAATGAGTCAATGCTCTGACCAGCTTTATATACACAGGGAAAGCCCAGGACCACCCCCTGGCTGCTGAGGCAACCAGGAAGCATCCTCAGTCAGGAGCCAATCGCAGGACTGATGGGGCAAGTGGTGAGTGCTGGGGACCTCCCCCAGCCTGACTAGCACCTGAAAGTGCTAAGTGTCGCAGGCGCACTACGCTGGTGCCCCCGCGCAGGCGCGTGCGGCTTGTGTACCGCGCATGCATCGGGCACTCTGCGCATGTGAACCGACAATCCATGCGCCCGGTGTCCTACCAGGAGGAGGTGAGTCCCGTGCCCTGTAGCCGAACTGGCGAGCCTGCTGAGGAGCAGTACCCCTGGTTTCCTGACATTAGTGGGCTTCTCTTTCTTAAGGGAAGCCAAATCGGTGACCTTCAAGCACCCAGTTCAGGTGGGTCAAAGGCTAGACACTTGCTCACCTCATCAATGAGCAGAAAAGTGATGTCATGCCAGGTTTTGGGGTTATATGAGGGTCCTCACAGCTCTGGCCAGTCTCCAATCACCTGATGATACCTGCATATTGCCCAGACGTCTCTGAATCTGCCTGTGTCCTGTACTGTACAATCAATACATTATACTTGGGGTAAGGAGAACCAGCCCTGGGTTTACATTATTTCGTGTGTTTCTTGGGTCACATGGTTGGCTTTTTCAGCTCTGTTTTATCTGTCTTTGTGTCTCGAATTTCCTTTATGACATCACTGGTCCCTCCTCTGTGTAGGAATGTACAGAACTGGTCACACTGGTTAATGAGTGTCAGAAACTTTCACTTCCCTCTTCTGCTGTCAGCGATGGCGTCTGCTGATCTGAGAGCTGAGCTGGACTGTTCCATCTGTCTGAACATTTATACGGCTCCTGTGATGCTGAAATGTGGACACAACTTCTGCCGGGATTGTATCGGTCGTGTGCTGGATACACAGGAGGAATCTGGAGTTTATTTCTGTCCTCAGTGCAGAGAAGAGTTCCAGGAGCGGCCTGCACTGTCCAGGAACATAACACTGCGGAACATAGTGGAGAGTTTCCGTTCTTCCCACCCGGAGCAGAAGGAGAGCGGGATCTCCTGTACTTACTGCATCCACGCCTCTGTCCCGGCTGTGAAATCCTGTCTGATGTGTGAAGCTTTTCTGTGTGACAACCACCTGAAAGTCCACAGCAAGTCACCAGAACACGTCTTATCGGACCCCACCACTTCTCTGGAGGACAGGAAATGTTCCATCCATAAGAAGGTCCTGGAGTATTACTGCACCGAGGACGCCGCCTGCATCTGCGTGTCCTGCAGTTTATCTATAGAACATCGGGGACATCAGGTGGACAAACTGCAAGAGGCCTTCACAAAGAAGAAGATGAAACTGGCAAATAATCTGCAGAAACTGATTGTTAAAAAGGAGGAGACAGAAAGAAGAGTCCGGAGTCTGCAGGAACGCCGAGGAGAAGTACAAGGAAAAGCAAACGGCGAAGCAGAGCGAGTCATTGACCTGTTCAAAGATCTCAGAAGACGTCTGGAGGACCTGGAGAAGAAAATCCTCAATGAGATCTCCAGGCAAGAAGAGCAACTCTTACACCCTGTCAATGACCTGATCCAACAGTTGGAAACAAAGAAGGTCGAGCTGACCATGAAGATCCGTCACATCGAGGAGCTGTGCAACATGACGGACCCACTGACTGCCCTACAGGAACCAGACAAAGGCGACTTGTATGAGGAGGGATATGATAAGGACAGAGAGAGACATGATAAGATCCTCCATGATGGAGGGGAGATGGATTTGTCTTGGATCCCAAACACATTCCGCACAGGTTTAGCTGACATCATAACAGCTGTAAACGGGGGGATCTATATACACAAAGTTGTGGACATGTCATTGGATGTGGACACAGCTAATCATTATGTATGTATCTCAGATGACAGGAGGACTGCATCCAGGTCAGGTACAGACCAGGATCGCAAATTTTTTCATGAGATATTTACGGATTATAATCAAGTTTTGGGCAGTCAGAGTTTCTCCTCAGGGCGACATTACTGGGAAGTAGATGTCCGGAAATCCAATAACTGGAGAATCGGGATGTGTTATGACAGTATGGAGAGGAAAGGGGATGATTCCTTGATTGGGTGTAATGACGTGTCCTGGGGTTTAGACAGGAGGGGTAAAAATTATATGGTGATACATGACAGTGATGAGACTGAGCTCGATGACCATCTGCCCTGTGAACGAGTCCGGGTGTATCTGGATTATGAGGCCGGGCAGATCTCCTTCTATATGTGTGACCCAATCGAACACCTCCACACCTTCAGCGCCGACTTCACTGAGCCCCTCTACGCTGTGCTAGGTGTATGGCATGCGTCTATATCCTTATGTTAAAGGAAGACGTGAGAAATCTGCCCATAGGTCCACCCTATGATGTCACCAGTCTCTGGAGGACTCTGAATGGTGGAACACTGGAAATTATTGTCATGATTAAACATATTTTCTGATATTTTCCCCCTCGCTCCCTGATCGCTAATCACCATCCCATCCCCGGGGCCACCAATCCACGTAGCTCTGCCCAATAGGAATAGCAATGTATAGCAGCTCTGGCCTTTGTGTCCCAGCAGGCCCATTATCATTATATGTAATTCTGTTTTCTGTGGATCCTGCCAGGAAAAATCACTCGCTGGCTTTGCAGGTTTCTCATTGACTCCAACAAGAGTTCTCAGCTCTGCCCACCTGCGGCCGACATAATGAGGAAGATTTTATTGTATCCCTCCTATAAAGTGTCCCTGTTATAATGTATCCTTAGTATAAAGTGTCCCTGTTATAATGTATCCCTCGTATATTGTGTCCCTGTTATAATGTATCCTTAGTATAAAGTGTCCCTGTTATATGTATCCCTCGTATAAAGTGTCCCTGTAACAATGTATCCCTCGTATAAAGTGTCCCTGTAACAATGTATCCCTCGTATAAAGTGTCCCTGTAACAATGTATCCCTCGTATAAAGTGTCCCTGTAACAATGTATCCCTCGTATAAAGTGTCCCTGTAACAATGTATCCCTCGTATAAAGTGTCCCTGTAACAATGTATCCCTCGTATAAAGTGTCCCTGTAACAATGTATCCCTCGTATAAAGTGTCCCTGTAACAATGTATCCCTCGTATAAAGTGTCCCTGTAACAATGTATCCCTCGTATAAAGTGTCCCTGTAACAATGTATCCCTCGTATAAAGTGTCCCTGTAACAATGTATCCCTCGTATAAAGTGTCCCTGTAACAATGTATCCCTCGTATAAAGTGTCCCTGTAACAATGTATCCCTCGTATAAAGTGTCCCTGTAACAATGTATCCCTCGTATAAAGTGTCCCTGTAACAATGTATCCCTCGTATAAAGTGTCCCTGTAACAATGTATCCCTCGTATAAAGTGTCCCTGTAACAATGTATCCCTCGTATAAAGTGTCCCTGTAACAATGTATCCCTCGTATAAAGTGTCCCTGTAACAATGTATCCCTCGTATAAAGTGTCCCTGTAACAATGTATCCCTCGTATAAAGTGTCCCTGTAACAATGTATCCCTCGTATAAAGTGTCCCTGTAACAATGTATCCCTCGTATAAAGTGTCCCTGTAACAATGTATCCCTCGTATAAAGTGTCCCTGTAACAATGTATCCCTCGTATAAAGTGTCCCTGTAACAATGTATCCCTCGTATAAAGTGTCCCTGTAACAATGTATCCCTCGTATAAAGTGTCCCTGTAACAATGTATCCCTCGTATAAAGTGTCCCTGTAACAATGTATCGGGACTCGGATCTATCAATAATATATTGTATCACAGTAATAAAGAACGGATCATTGCCCCATTGTATCGCTTACATGGAGTGTCATTATTATAATGTATACAATGTGATGAGATATCGGCCATGTTGGACGTCAAAGTCCTCTAGGACGGGGGAGGGGACGCATGTCATATGAGCAGTACTTGTTTGAGCTGGAATGAGTTTCGAGTTGCTGGAAGACACGTCATCTCACAAGAAATGAATGTTCTTTGTTATCTCGTTAGTTTCCATTTCCTATGCAGCAGCTTCGATGTTTTCCTGATTAGCGATTGGTCGATGCTGCACCTCCGTCCTATGTTTACCTGACACGTGATTTACCAATGTGCCGGATAGACTTTGATATGGGAGCCGATACCACACACCGCGGTGTCTGTGCCGAGTCTCATATCCCGAGCTGGAGAGCAGAAGAGAAGTAGAGAGTCTGCGGCAGATTTGACCCCGGGGGGTATCACATAGCAACCCATCAACAGGGGCAATTAATACAAATTCAAGGAACAAATGTAGAGTTGCCTTGCCGCACTCCTTACCGGAAAGCCCCAATTAAATGGGGGGGGGGGGGT